TTTCTGTATTAAAGGGTTTAATGAAATGGAAGAATTCACAGAACCAAATAATGGAAAAGAAGTTCCTTCACAATAAATTTAGTGCCTACCGAGATACTAACAGTGACAAACAAAAAAACTTTTCTTTTATATTTCTGAGAAAAAAAAAGTAATGAACAATTGTTGAAAATTTATAGAACAAAAAAAGAGCGGGAAAAAAACATTTTTATTTCACTTTTTGTAGCAAACATTCAGAAGATTTGAAAATACAGTTAGACTACATAACTCATAAATATGCATAGACAGATAAAAAAGTATAACAAATAATTAGGCAAATAAGTGGAAAAAAAATTGAAAATAAACATCCTCTTCTTCTTTATTTATTGATAAAAACTATTAAATTTTTGTATGAACATTCACGTCTGTACAAACAACCGACAGGAGGAAAGTAAAAAACCTTTGTTCAAATATCCCCTCCTCTTTTTTAACCCTGCATTCCAATACTAATAAGAAAAGGTACAGAGGAAGGAAGAACAAGGAGAGAGGAAACAATAAAACCGAAAAGTTTCGGATGAAAATGAATTTAACTATGATGTTGGCACGTTGTATACCAGTGACGCAAACGTAGGTATGTGATTTCAATCGCCTCTTGAGCAAAAACTAACTCGTTGAATCCCCAGAAAGAACACACAAATGCAAAGGATAAAATCCACATTACATACAAAAATGATATGCTCTACTAGTATTTCTTATACACAGAGGTTTGCATGGCTCAAATAACAATTTCTGCTGCTTTTGCTGGTTACTATATAAAATATAAAATATAGAATAAGAATAAAAAGAATAAAGATAAGAATGAGATACGAGATAATGATGCAGCCAATTATGACAACAATGAAGAGAATATTTCGTCCCGTGATTTTAAGAAGGAAAAGAGAGTGGAAGAGGACTTAGAGCACATCGGATGACTAAAAAGGAGGGGATTTTTGCGGAAAGAAAAACGAAAATGTAGAAGAAAATTGTCGCTAAAGTGCATTTCTGGACCAGCTTGTACAAATCGAACGAAAAAACGGGACAGGCAGATGCACCACATTAAGACATGGAAAAAGAAGGAAGGCAAGGAAGGTGATTTAGTGAGTATAAAAAAAAAACAACGAAGATCAAAACTGAAGATCGATTGAAAAACTATCGCCGTTGCCATCGCTCTAGCTGCTGTTGCTACTGCTACCAACACCGCTGAAGATACTGATGCTGATAGTAGCGACGCTGCTGGCCGCTGCACCAGCGAAAAGACAAACAAACCGGTCGGTAGCTTCTCGCAACAAAATTGTAGCAGCTACAAAATGTACTAGTACTTTGCAGTGTGTACTTAACGTTTTGGTGTCAGTTGGCAGATTGCATAACAGACCTACGACCACGCTCCAGACACAGACAGGCAGACACATACAACGCACATCTACAAGAATATAGTGAAATGTGGCGAACACTGAAACATTGAAAGACATCGACAGACAAACGCTGAGGAATGCTTTCTCCTCCGTTGTATAATCATCACAGACTTTGGCACATCTGCTGATCGGAAACGTCAAGCTGGCAGCTAGCCAAATTCATGCTCAGCCAGTGTACCTGTCGACTCTGCGGCTGCTGTATGACTGTTACGTGAGAATAATAGATTAGCCAGCTTGGTAAATCGTCGAATGCAGATTTCCGCATGTTGAGTGAACGCTTTTGATTTAACTTTTTTTTATTTTTCTTTTCATTAATATATTTATGTCATCGTTGATTAATGCTGGTTTTTATCCCACGTTGTAAAAACTCCTGGTATCATCGGTAAAGAGCATTCAGTTGATTGAATCGGTCTAGACGACAAATTAATCTCTGGTTTAGCTGACCGTTTGAATTAGAATTCTAATCCAACAGTAAAACTACTAATCATCCCACTCAGTAAAAATTCCACATCGTTTGTAACTGGTGAGTTAATGTTTTTTCTTTATTCTTTGCCCACTTTTATTAATTCTTGAGTAAGCAACGAGAGTTTCCTTTTCCGTTGTCAGATTCTATTTGATTTCGATTTTTTTTTATATTTTTATTTTGCTGCACTACTTTTTGTTCTTGAAAGATATCAGAAGAAAGTGCAAAGAGAAAAAAACCAAGGGAAGTACTGCACTTGTTTTTTACGTCTACTGTAATTATCAGTACTTTTTTCTCTTATCCCCTTCTCTCCTGTTCGTAGTAGTTGTGAATGTACTAAAAATTTTGATTCTAAGTAAGTAGATGTTGGAGGTCAAAGATAAAAAAAATAGGATGAAAGATATTGTTTTTTTTCTCTGGGATTTTGTTGGTATGAATCACGAATGCAAACCACAGAAAGAAATTTTGCCAGAAAAAAGTAATTTTGCACAGCGAAAACTGTCTG